ATATATATATATATATATATAGTGTATGTGCATTTCAGAGAAGTGAATCGGAAAGCCAAACGCCAGCACAATGTATCAGCAGTGTGGCGCGGTTGATTTGCAGTGGTAAACACCCACTTAAAGGTACGTTATTTGCTACGGCTTCTGGAATTTGTTTTCGGATTTTTTGACGTCTCCGCATGTTTCTAGTGCATTCCAGCGCGCCCATGCAACTGAATCTTCTGGAACGAGCAATACGGACGGAACGGTTGCTTGCACTGTGTTACGATGGCAGGAAAATCCAGAGTAGCGCAACTTACGCGTACAGAGTTTGTCGATGCGCAAGGCGCATCTACTCCGGATTTTTTTGTCATCGGCTCCCTTCGAAGCGCAGTGATCTATCTTTCATCCGTATCGCTCAAGCGTGAGCAACAGAGCCTGACGTCGCCTTCGCTTTGCGGGATGCTGTGCTGTGATTTCTTGAACCCAGACTGACTGACGTCGTTCGTTGACGCTGTCTGTGTTGTTTCTTTGAGCGTTTCAGGCCTGAAAAGAGAATGCTGGCTGGATCAGGTGGATATACGTCGCTGATATTCGTTACATTACAATTCTCCCAATATTTATTAAAGTTTTTTTTTTTACAGTTTTAATCGATGGCTGTGCATGGTCTGATGTACGATTCTTTCAAATCTCTGCTCAGTGGCAAACCCATGTCAAATATTTCCCAGTGTGCCTGCTTTCGCCAGGTACATAGCGTGTGTTTGTTGCTTCGTCTTAAGCTTTTGTTTGGAAAGCTCCGTTTGTGCCGAAAAGGCATTCAGTCATTAATGTTTCCTTTAATTTTTGTGAATCATTGTACTCCTATACCCACCATTTTTTTTTTTGTTGCTTTAAGTGAAAATTTAGGGTCGTGCAGTAAAAAAAAAATTGAGCAGAGCCGATTGCCTGAGTTGAAAAGGAAAAAACTTCTACATACCGAAAGATTGTTTTAGAACGCGTCTCCTTAATAAAGTTTGTATGTATTTGTCATAAAGCAACATTTTCAAATAATTAATAAATTGTGGCACGCTTCAGGAGGTCGGTTCAGCATGTGTTTCTTGCACGTTGTAACACCAGGAAACGTGGAGCAGGATAGGGGACTGTGATTTTTTGTTTGAGGATAATTGAACCTGTAACGGGAGAATGACGTGCTGGCAGCATCAGTGAATGATAGAAATTTTATTCTTGACGTAGCAAGTAATACAAGTGGTGCTGAGGACGGCTGCAAGCGAGTCATGCTGATATTGAACAACAAGCACCCGTAATCAAGACGAACGAATACAACTTATTGAAATAAACTAACAAAATAATTACTATTTATACTTGTCACAAAAGCCTGAGAAACCGTGGCGGGTATAGGAACGAAAGGTCAAGGGAGAAGATGGTGGTGTCAGATTAGTCACTGCTTGTCCTTTTGACGCGAAGCCGCATCTTCGCTCCTTTTGGCACAGGGAGTGCAGCTTCCGTCTCTCTGTGCTTGAAATGTAGGGGATGTGAAAGTAGGCTTAGTGCATATTTAGCCGTGCGTTGTTGTAAATTAAGCTTATAAAATGTCAGCTTTCTTTAGCTGTTTTGACTGGAGGATTACGAAATTCACAGGAAGTATGAAGAAGTGAACATTCGTTTTGTGCCTGGGAACTCATCCACAGTAGGAATACGTTGACAATATTTTCATTTCTCTTACAGATCTGGGAAATGATGTATGTGATAAGTACAGGCGCATGCAAAATTTCCATACAGCACAGTTTTTTTGCACTGTACGTTGCAAAAGTGCATAAAAACCAAAACAGGATAAACAGTTAGCCAACGCACGGGCTGCCCGTGCGAAAATGCGTTTTTTGCATAATTTCTCGCAGATTTTTGGCTGACGGCACTGTTTTTTCCGGCTGATGTTTCTAGCTAAAAGAATTTCAGGCTGGCCGTCAGGACTGTCAGGAAACGTCCCTTCTAAATTTCAGTCCTCTAGCTTCTCAGGTTCCCGAGTTAGCAACTTATTCGAAAAAAAAAAAATTTCACATTCCCATACGTGGGAATGACTCATACTCGGGAGGCTAGGTTTGAGCTCATTAATATCAATTTGGACGGCGAACATCCCCTCAAAGTTCCAGTCTTCTTGCTTTTCAGATTCCCGAGTTACCGAATTACCCGAAAAGATCTTTCACGGGCCTGTACGTGGGTACCACTCTTACCCGAGGGCTGGGTTTGAACTCATTAATACCTGTTTGATAGGTATTAATACCTGTTTGATAGGTATTAACATTAATACATCTCCCTAAAATTTCAGTCTTCTAGTTTTTAAAGTCCCCGAGTTATCAACTTACTCGAAAAAACTTTCACGAGCCCACTCGTGGTTACCACGCGTACCCGGTGTCTGGGTTAGAGCTCATTAACACCCACTTGGGTGGGGAACATCCCCTTAAAATTCCAATCCTCTACCTTCTCATGTTCCCGAGCTAGCGAATTATCCGTAGAAAACTTTCACGGGGTCGTACATGGTACCATGCGGGTAGGAGCACCCATTTTGGGGATTAGGGCCCATACGTGCATGTATATTAAGTTCCCAAAGTTTCGGCCCTGTAGCTTTTGTAAGTCTTGAGATGAAAAACTGTGACAGAAGCGCACACAGACCCACGGACACACAAACAACCCTTCGTCATTATGCGTTTTCTGCGTTGCATAGCTGCAGAAAACGCACAAATTAGTAGTTTTGTGCACCGAAAAACTAACACAATAATGTGTTTTTCTAGCAGTCTCTTTAAAGGTTTAATTTGCGAATGAACCACCAGTTCAGCTGCAGTTCTGGGCTTTCCATTTAATCGTTCTAGCGCGTAAAAAATTTTTGCGGCCTTGCCCCTTTTTAAAGTTGAGTTTGAGATTGGTAATTGAACCCAAATAGCGGCTCATAGCGGTGTCTCCGGTATGATACGCGTTTTTAGATTGGTCTAAAAGTAATCGGATCGCTTGCAGATTGAATGATTGCTGCTCTACACCTTAACAGGCAGTGTCTTCTACCCTTTGCTACTTGTACCGGGGGCGGGAAGGGGGTTAAGAAAGGTTCGCGAAAAAACACACCCTTGAGTTCGCCACATCTGTGCAAGAAATTTAAGCATTTATGGAGGCTGATTTTACGTTTTAGTGACACAGTATATGCCAGCATTCTCATAAAATTTCTGCTTTCTTGCCGTTATATTTACCGAGAAGGGTGATGAAAGCGTTACAGTTTTTGAACATTTGATGCGCCTGTGCGCAAAACATGCAGAAGCAGTAGCTCATTTTGCGATCTTTGGCTTGTGCGTGAACGGTACACATACTTGCGAAACTGTGGTTGAATCCGGCTGCAGAGTTAAATGGATATTGAGATTGCCCAAAATTGGAATTCTACTTGCGTATAACGCAAGAATTAGCTGTGTCTTGAAGCTGAATTTAAAACTTTTAGGCTGCATGTGATTTAGAATCCTCGCAAAATTTTACTTCCTAGCTTATTCCCGAAACCGCCACTTTGTTAAGAATATCCTCGACGTGACCTTACGCATAACACAAGTATAAATCGAAACTAAATTTGGGTGTACGGACCTCTGCATAGGTAGTAAAAATCTCCACAAAGTTGCAGCTGTCTTCTTTCGACTGTTCAGCTGGCGTGATACCAACACCGAATTTAGCTTTGCTGATGTGACAAGAATTTGGAATGTTTACTGTCGCAGCGTTTCAGTTTCCTGTGCTAACTTCCGAAATCGTTTCCCACCAAAAGTTTTCACTGCCTGTGAAAGTTGATTTCAAAGAGGAAAGGTTGCCAGTGAGATGGGGACATGCTTCAAAAATTTCAGCCGCCTGATTTTTATGCGTTTTTGTCGTGCAGCGCTAAAGCGCTGCAGTAGGCAGCAAAAACGCATATTACATCGACCCTGTCAGTGTGTGTGTGTGTATGTGTCTGTGCGTGCGTGTGTGTGTGTGTGTGCGTGTGTGTGTGTGTGTGTGTCCGGGTATTTCAACTCGGTAACCACGCAAGCTTTGAAGCTGAAATTTTGCCAGTCTGTTCCCCAGCGAGGTACCACCCCAGGACCGCAGTTTCAACCCTCACGCACGTCCGGACCCCGCGTATGAGCACGTGAAAGTTTTGGCGCGAAAATCGCTAATTCGGGAACGAGAAAAGCTAGAAACCTGAAACCTTGGGAGAACGTTCCTTACCCATGTATGACAAAAAGATTTCAAATTCATCTGCCCAGGACTGCCCGGGGCTTACGTACAGGCACGACGAAATTATGGCGGGAAAATTCATAACTCGGGTATGAGAAGAGCTAGAAAGTTAAAACTTTGGAGGGATGTTCCCTACTCGTGTACGACCAAAAGTTTTCAAAGTCAGCTGCTTAGGACCACCCGGGGCTCACGTACGGGGACGTGAAAGTTTTTGGCGTGAAAATTACTAACCCGGGACGAGAGAAGCTAGAAAGCTGAAACTTTCGGGGGATGTCCCCTGCTCATGTATGAGCAAAACCAGGTGTTTAGAAGCGTCCGAGCCCACTTCCAGCGCGTGGAAATTTTGGCGCGAAAGTTACTAACCCGGGAACGGAAAAGATAGG